ACTGCTGAACGCCCCTGCTGTGGCCACCTCACACTTGTGGCTGTCTCTGTTTGGGGCTGTTATGAACAACCCCACTATGAAGGACCCTGCACACAGTGTTTTCTGGACATGTTTTCAATTACCCTCACTTAGGAGTAGAATTTCTGGATAGCTCTAGGTTTATTTTTTTAGAGACAGAGTAACACTTTGTTGCCCTCGGTAGAGTGCCCTGGTATCACAGCTCACAGCAACCTCCAGCTTTTGGGCTTAGGTGATTCTCTTGCCTCAGCCTCCTGAGCAGCTGGGACTACAAGGACTTACCACAATGCCTGGCTATTTTTTTGTTGCAGTTTGGGTTCTAGAAACATCATTACTAATGCAAGTGTGTTGAGGATGAGGAGAAAGGGAGCCCCTCACACATTTCCTCACTGGCTGCACCATTTTACATCCCCAGCAGGATGTGAGGGGCTCCCTTTCTCCACATCCTCAACACACTCGCTATCACTAATGATGTTTCTAGAATCCGTGGTGATTTTTCAGAACACAGGTGTCTGAATGGAAGAACGTGGCCTGTTAGTACTGAACTCAGTGAACAAGGCGCCCACGTTCTGGGTGTCTGGCTACCTGCCCATATCAGGGTGTGGGACCTGCCTCCTTCCTGGGTGATGATCTCTCTGGCGTGGCGTTAGCTCCCCCTGCCCCAGAACGCTGTGTCCTCCTGTGCCGGGTGGTTCCCTTCTCTTGGAATTTGCCTGTCTGTCACCTGGCCCCTCTTCATGCTTACAGTGGTTTAGTCAGTGTGCATTATGATTTCTATGACACATCTAATCTTAATGGCTGTCGTCATTCCTATTCTTAAGAGTTCCTTCCGGATACTATTCCCCTATAACACTGCCAGAGTATTGGCATGGGGATGAAGCCTTGAGGTTTGGTTGGTTTGTTTTTTAACATGTACAGCAGCTTCTAGTTTGGGTTCTCCTGGATTGGTGGATTCTTCAGGATCTGTTCTGAGCAGCGTTGATACGGCATGGAGGCAGCTGTCTACCCCACGTGGGGGCCCCCGGAAGGGCATACCTTTAACACCTGGCTCGCCAGCCAGACCCTTCAGACCGGGAACTCCAAAAAATCCAGGCTCCCCTTTGCTTCCTGGAAACCCAGATCTTCCTTTGAGTCCAGGCATGCCTTGGAAACCATCCATCCCAGGGGAGCCTCTGTCTCCTTTAGAGGAAAGAGAAACGCACTGGTTAGGTGTGAGTCACATGCACTCGCTCGGCCCATCCATCTTGGCAGGGCGAGTGGCTTGAGAAGGTACTAGGATTCTGAACATGAAGCAGGATTTCCAGGGCCACCGTCTGTAGGTGACCTTATCTCCTGGCCTCTGTTGTCTTCTAACTGGACATAAAGGAAACACACAGAGGTCAGGCAGGAAGACTAGGAGAGAAATCTGGGGCTTACAGAGGGGTGTGGGTCTCTCTGGACAGCTAGAAAGGAACATGGGGCAGGAAGGCAATGTGGACATGGCCCCTAGAGTGGGAATCTGATGGGCAAGTGGGGAGACAGAACAACACCCTCCAGCCACATTCACGGCCGAGGGTGCTGCTTCTAGTTTGGCCATCTGTGCACGAAAAACCTGCCCGGTGCCTGGGTGTTTCTGTTTTGCTTTGGCCTGTATCCATCACCCAGCCTCCAGGTCTGAGTCCAGCCTCCTGAGTGGGCCTCTCCACAAATGTCACTGTGCAGAGACAAGCTGTTTCCCAGGCAGGAGCAGTCTCTCTTGGTGGTCAATGAAGTGTCTTTTTGAGGCACATAGGTCCCACACATGTGTACACAGTGTCACCCACCCCTCCTGGGTGAGCAGCAAACTGAGCTGCACCCTCGTGGCCCAGGGAGATGCCCCACAGAGCTGTCCTCGGCCAGCCTGCCCTGCCCCGACACCCAACCAGTGGTTCCCTGGTCACACCGCACACTCGCCTTTCAGCCCAGGGGTGCCAGGCATCCCGACCATTCCCTTGAATCCTGGGCTTCCTGGATGGCCTCGCTCGCCAGGCAGCCCGGCCTCTCCTCTGTCACCAGAGACTCCTTTCATGCCCACCGGGCCGGGGACACCTGTGTCCCCGGGCTCCCCTCGGTCCCCAGGAAGACCTGCCAGGAAGAAGGCAACAAATCAGCAGACAGACAGACAGACACACAGAAAAAGGCTCTTCCGGTGCTTGTCAGGCATCAACTTTTCAACAAGAAAACCTTCTGGGAAGGGAAATGGAAACTGCCACCATGGGGGAGTCCTCAGTGTGGCTGGAGATGTGGACATCCCACAGGGCTGGCCTTCCGGAGAGGCTGAGCCACCCCAGGGCCAGGCCACGGTGACTCTCTCCATGCCAGCCTCTCACCCTTGGAAGCTGAAGGAGAGAGCTGTCCTAGGTGCTGAGGGGCAGGGAGGGGGGTCCTGCCAACCCTGCTGGAACGTGGCCACCAGGTCAGTCAAGAGCCTGCCTGCGGCTCCTGGCTGTTGCTGGCTCCAGCCGAGGCTCAGTTCTGGGAGAGGCCCCAGCTCCCACTTGGCTGCTGCTGCCACCTCTGCCTCTCACTTCTACCTCAATTTCATTCTTGTTGGACTTCACGGGCCCCCAGCCCACTGCTGCCCTCCAGGCTCCCTTCTTGGTCAGCTGTCTGCCAGTTTCCTCCAATTCTTTCTTCTCTGTTAAAAATGCGAACAGCCCGCCCTTGGCTGAGGGTGTTGCCTCCTCAGCTTGGCATTCAGTGCCGCCTAAACTCTGGCCCCTTCTCGCAGTCAGGACTACCAGTGTCCTCCTCAAATGAAGCCCCCTCCCTAGCTGGCCTGAGGGACTGGGGCTCCATCGAGGCATTTGTGTTCTCCCTAGAAAGTCCCTGCCCTGTTCCTGTCCCTCCACCCCACCTCCTCAGACACTGGGTCTTCCCCTCCGCTCACCTGCTCTCCTGCCCTGAATCTTTCTTTTTACGTGTGTGATTCTTTCCCCAGCTCAAGTGTGGGCTCCTTTAGGATGAGGCTTCCCCAGGTCTTTCATGCACTACACAATGGCTTGTGTTAACATGCGCTATTTGGAAGCTGGCAAGGCCTTGCAAATACAGAAATGAAAGCCCCAGCCTCCCGCCAGGGTCTGCGGCCCTGTGCAGCCAGCATGGCCCCTGGGGATCTAGCCTCAGCCCCGTCCAGCCCTTGCACTTAGATCCAGGTGAGGCCCTGCGTGGTGGAGGCCCATGTGCCAGATGCAGCTGGTTGATGTTTGGGCAGCATGAGGGTTTCCCAGCACCGACCAGCTGAGGTCCCCAGCAGAGATGTTGCCTGACTGTGGCAGACGAGAGAACTAAGACTGGGGGCTCTTAAGTGGTAACAGAGCAATTGTGTGTCTTTCTGTTTTCAGTGCTACAGTGTCCTTAGGTGACACAATGGCGATGGCAGGGGACATTTATGTAAGAAAGTGTTCTTAGCGGGCAAAACTGTACTTAGAGTTTCCCCAGCCCAGCAGATGTGAGAGTCTGGGGCCGTGGTTCTGCTCAGAGCTGGTGGGCTCGGCAGCCCTGGCAGGCAGCAGGCAGCGCCCCTAGTGCCCTTGCGGCCTCTGTGAGGCGGCCACCCCCAGCTGTGGCTCCTCACTGCTCCCTCTGCCTGCCTGCCCCGGGGTTTCCTAAGCACCATCTTCCTTTGCTCCCAGCTTTTGCTCTTTCAGGAAACGATTTCTCCTCTCCAAACCAGAGCAGTGATTTGGAACTTCTGCAGTAGGAATTTCTCTTGTTTCGCCTAAGCCCCAGTATATCTAATAGACACAAAGGCAGAGCTGCTCTCCACAGTCGGCTGTGGGAGGCCCTCGGTGTCCAGGGCAAGGCACTACAGTTTGCTGTCGGAATAGTGAGGACCCCCAGTGTTGGGGCCTGGAGTCTCACCTCCAAAACCAGGGGCACCTGGCAGCCCCAAGGGTCCCTCTTGGCCAGGAAGTCCGGGGAATCCATGTTGTCCTGGAGGCCCGGGCAGTCCTGGCTGGCCGGAAGGTCCGGGGAAGCCCAGCTGGCCCTTCAATCCCGGCATTCCTGGCATCCCCTGGCTCCCTGCAGGCATCAGAGACAAGAGTGGGGGGCTGAGTCTGCCCTGCTTAGCTCAGACATCGACCTCCACACACCTGTTCTACAAATATGGTACTTCTTGTGTAACAAATCATCATGATATTTATGGGGTACATTGCATCCCATAAATGTATATAGTTATGATTTCAATTAAAAATTAAATTAAGAAAGTGGTTCTTAATGCTTCTGGATTGTGAAAAATCTAGAAAATACACAGAAGCCAGAAGGATAACATCAAAGTAACTCCCACTGTCCCCCAGGGATAGTAACCAGCATCTTGGTGCCTTCCCTTCCTGCCTTTTCTACTCCTGTTAACATATCCAGACACAAATACCTGAAGACTGTAAAGTTCTGAGTATAATTTCAGTCTAGCTGTTCTCACTGGACGTTACAATTGAGTATTTGTCATTTACAAGGGTTTGCTGCAAACATGTACAAGGATGGCAGGAACGCCCCCCTCAAGTGGCACACAGTGTGTCCCACACCCCTTTCCTCTCGACTGTGGAGAGGCTGTGGGGACCAGTTCTGGGGAGGGAGGTGGCCGGGTGCTGCCGCTTCAGTAGCCGCCCTGCAAACCTCTCTGTCCCCTCAGTTGTTGGTAGGGATCATTTCTTTGGAGCTGAATATTTCAGGTCAGTTTCCATTTATGGGACATTTGTTTAAAAGGGAACAAGTCCTAACAATTAGCTTCCCTATCTGTGGCCTTGTGAAACTGCTTTACTAGGAGAAACGCCACTGTGCCTTCCTAACCGACACTGTGGCCAGCCGGGCAGCCCATGCGCACTGCTCCCATGGTGATCCCAGTGGTGAACTGATGGAAACTGAAATAGCTCCTTGGAGCTTGATGCTTTGAAAACTAGGATTTTTACCAAACCAAATATCCTGCCTGAGCAAGGCACAGGATGCTCATCACAGGGGGGGACATCGGTCTCGGGGAAACCTCCTGCCACTTTCTGTTTTCAAGCTTAAACATTTTGAAGCCTGTAGGAATTAAGTTTTAAAAACATCTTCCAAGATCAGTGCCCATAGCACAGGGGTTATGGTGCCAGCCATATATACACCAAGGCTAGTGGGTTCAGATCTGGCCTGGACCAACTAAACAACAACGACAACTGCAACCAAAAAATAGCCGGGCATTGTGGCAGGTGCCTGTAGTACCAGTTACTTGGGAAGCTGAGGCAAGAGAATCACTTAAGCCCGGGAGTTTGAGGTTGCTGTAAGCTGTGACGCCATGGCACTCTACCGAGGGTGACGTAGTAAGTCTCTGTCTCAAAAAAAAAAAAAAAAAAAAAACCGAAAAAAAGAATCATCTTTCAGAAGAACCCACATGTACATCTTGGGGCGGGATTCTCACGGTTGGGTAGCAGAGTGGATGGGCGGTGGACACATGGAGATATCTGTGTGTGTTCCGCCCACCTCCATGAGCAAAACCAAGTGCCACCAGGAAGGGTGATGCTGGGGCACAGCTCAGTCCCCACAGAGGTCTCTGGTCTGCACCTTATGCCCAGGAGTGATGTGGATGGCCTGGCAGAGGGGTGCCCCGCCTGGCCATTTTACCCAACAGCCTGCACCACCCGGCCCCTCTCTCCCCTGGTGTGGGACTCACCTCGGAATCCTGGATGCCCTCTGTCTCCAGGGAGGCCTTTTAGCCCAGGGTGTCCGGGCAGTCCTGCGTCTCCTCGAGACCCGGGCTGGGCTCCCAGGACTTCTCCAGGAAGGCCCCTGTCCCCTGGGGGCCCGGCTGGCCCCGGCAGACCAATGGGACCTGGGGATCCATCTGGGCCAGGAAGGCCCATTGCACCTTTGGATCCTCGGGGTCCCACGAACCCTAGAAGGAGAAACAAACAAAATGCTCTCACAGCACAGGGCAGCATGACGCTGTTCTCAGAGAAGAGTTGGGAAGACACCAGAAAGAGTGATAACTTGGCCGCGGCGTCCCCTGGACTCAGGGCCGTCACTGCTGCTCACCTCGGAGCCCACAGCTCTCACCTCCCACTCTTCATCAGTGACCCTGCTTCCACCTCCCTCCTCTGTCTGGCTCCTCACCCTCAAACTAGCTAAAGTGGACACCCTCAGGACCCCAGTGCTCCTGGCACTGTCTTTGTAATTTGTGGGCTCTGTGTTTTGAGCAGCTCTGACGGGCCGTGCAGCTGAGTGTGCGCAGGTGCAGAGCTGCATGGCCAGCAGAGCACCAGGGGCAGAGAAGACAAACCTGCTTCCCTGAAACGTGGCGCTGGGCCAACCCCTGGTCACCCGTCAGTTTGAAACTCTTCAAAAGGAGTTGACACCCTTTGTCTATTCACTGAGAAAGTTGCCAAACCCCATATGTGGGCACAGGGACACCCACTGTCACCTGCCTTTCCTCAGTGCCCCTCAGTCAAATGATCTCACGCCACTCCCCTCTGAGGACTGACCCCAGCGCTGACAGTCATGTGGTGCTCAGAGGAAAGAGGTCTGAGGTCAGCTTGCAGCCCCCTGGGCTGTGTGTGCTGGAGGAGGGGCCCTGCAGTGGGAGACCCATGCTCAGGCTGATACTGTGGGGACTGATCAAAGATGCAGAAGGCCCAGCACCCTGTGCCTGTGCGCACTGTCAGGTCTACTGAGTCCTGTCCCAGCAGAGTGACATGCTGTCCTTGGATGTTTAATGTCAACCATTAAAGGACAATGTTTCTGCAACACCTCTTTGTTTCCTAAAGGATTTGCAGGTATTTCTGCAAAACTAGCAGAGTATTAGTGATGAAAAGATAATAGTTTTTAATCTTCCAAGAACAAGCACAAAATCATCATCAAGCATGTGTTGAAACTGCTTCTAAATGTTGGCAGGCACCTAGTCAGCTGCGTCCTGAGCCTTCGGGCTGAATGGGGGTCCCATCCTGACTTACCTGGGGGTCCTGGGAACCCTTCACGACCTGGATCTCCTGGAAAGCCCTTGAGCCCTGGTGCTCCATCGGCTCCTGGGAATCCTGGTATCCCTCTGAGGCCTTTGGTACCTAAACACCCAGATAAACCACAGACACGTCAGGTCCTGGGAGGAAGAGAGGGCTGTGGCCACACTCGGTACCCGACTTAATGTGGTGTCTCAGGAGGAGAGAGGGTAAGGCCAGCCCTATACCACACACCTGACTTACAGAGGCTTTTCCCTGGCTCCAAACCCAGCTCACAGACTCAGCCTTAATTAAGCAGAAGACCATCCAGCGTTCAGACTCTGCAGCACTCTAGCTAAGGCTTGGGGTCTGGAGTCAGCATGCCTGGCTGGGAATTTGTCTCTACCTGTTCTGTGTGACCTTGGACAAGTTTCCGAACCTCTCTATGTCTCAGTTTCCTCATCTGTAAAATGTGGAGAATGGCAAACCTACTTTGGGGGGCATTGTGATGAACAAACACAAGAACTCTTGTCAAACATTTGCACAGTGCTGGACACAGGGCAAGCTGCCTGCTGCTCGTACAGGTCAAGAGCTGCCATCCTCACCGAGGTCAGAAAGCTGTCTGAGCCCTGCTTTCATCCATGTTTTCCTTCAGGAAAGGGATGCTGTGTGACGCAGACCCACCCTTTTCTCAATGAAATAACAATGTCATTTCCAAATGAGGGGACTGGGTCACATGTTAGGGCAGTGGTTTGCTCTGCGGGTTGAGTCCTGCAGAACCCTGGACACCAGCTGGGAATGTGTGCCCAGCAGGTCACATAACGATGCGGGTCCTGAAATGGGGCTCACCTGGGAACCTGGCTCAGGAAGTGTAAGCCAGGGGAGAAAGGGGAGCCTGAGAGCAGGGGTAGGACTCTGCCACAAACATGTCTCTCTAGCTCAGTCACGAGGGAAAACCACAGCATCCGAGACGGGCCACGGGGATGGCGCACACCGAGATGGGCCACAGGGATGGCGCACACCAATGGAGCACAGCTTCCTGCCCTGCTCACAGACAGGGTCCCTCAGGGATAAAACCATCCAGAGACGGTTCTCTCCCTGTGCAATTACAGGCTCTCATGTAGACCCTGGCACTGGCCTGGGGGAGCGGATTGTAAGCCGTAGCCCCAGGCTGCTGTCCCCAGCCAAGCAGACTTCTCTAAGACTAGGATAGCATGGACCAAGGGACAGGGGTGGGACAGACTCACATTGCTAGGATATGTGCGTTGAGAACCCCAATATCTGCATCAATCTACAAATGTGGTGCAGGTCTGAGTAAGGGCTTTACACCAGGAAGCCTGGGTGAATGCAAACTCATGGAGCTAGATGGAGTGAGGCAGGGGGAACAGCTGAGCTCAGCTCAAAGCTAGTTCCCAAAAGGAAACCCTGCTGGCCCTTGGAGCGTTGTAGCTAAAACTGCACATAGGACACAGAATGCCAGACCTGCCTGTGAAATTGAGACACCCCAGGGTGACAGGCGTGTCAGTGGCTCATGACCAGCATGTCATGAGCATGGGGAACTGGCAGGTTGCTATCTTACAACTGCTCTCAGTGCCAGGCCGTCTCCACGGCACACCTGGGGATTTGGTTTTAGGATCTAAGAACTGGTGGCAGCATCTGCTTTGGGGGGGAAGGGGAGGTGAGGACAAGTAAGTGACCTCATGGGGAAAACTTAGATTCTTTTTTTTTTTTGAGACAGAGTCTCATTATGTTGCCCTTGGTAGAGTGCTGGGGCATCACAGCTCACAGCAACCTCCAACTCTTGGGCTTAAGTGATTCTCTTGCCCCAGCCTCCTAAGTAGCTGGGACTATAGGCACCTACCATAATGCCCAGCTATTTTTGGTTGCAGTTGTCGTTGTTTAGCAGGCCTGAGCTGGGTTCGAACCTGCCTCGGTGCATGTGGCTGACCTGGTAACCACTATGCTATGGGCACCAAGCCGAAAACTTAGATTCTACAGCAAAATGTGGCAGCAGTGCCAGGTGGGCACAAAATTAGACAGTTTTTATAAATTTAGAAAGTCTTTGGAATGTTGTCAGGACTTGCACCCAGAGTTGAGCAGAAGTCACAGAAGCCGAGGACCCCGAGGGGCCATTTACTGAATTACCACAGCTGTGAACACCAGCCTCAGACACTCCGTGCTGACAGCGGCTGTTCATGGTCATTACCTACGGCAAGGCCCACTCTCCAGGGCTGCTGCACAGATTAGCTTCAATTTGAAAGCAAAAGGGGAGAAGGCTAATTCCACCTTGCTAACATCAAAAGAATAGCTCATTGCACACAAGAGGGATTACTGAATCACCTCATAGACTGAGCCTCAGTCTCTATCAGTAACACCACATCCATGATCCTGCGGCCTCATTAGCACGGGAGACCTCATTAGCCCTGCACCTCAGGAAGCTTCGCATCATAAAAACGTAGCCTCCAAAAGCCTCAGCCCTCATAGCCAGTGTGTTTGACATGTATTTGGGGCCTGGCTTCCACACACTTGCTGCGGAAAATGATCCCACTATGGGCCTCGAGCCCCAAGCCTCCTCACACAGAGCTGCCACTGTGCTGGGAATGGCCACATCAGTGGCTGTTGGAATCCACCAACAGACAGGAGTGGGGGCCATGAGGACGCTGACACGCGGGAGATACACTCTCAGGTCTCAGGGCGCAAATGACCCTCATGCCCTTTGTCTGGTTGTCTCCAGATCCTGCACCTCCTGTGCTCCCGGAAGACGCCCTGAAAGTGCAGGACACAGGGTAAATCAGCTGACTCTCCTGCCCTGGAGGGCTGTTTGCACAACCCTGGTTTAGCACTTTACGGTGTATGTAGGGCCTCAGTGGGTCACAGGAAGTACTGGGGGCCTCACATGGGAAGCAGGAAGCATCTAAAACACCTGCACTATTCCTTATTCCTCCTACCCAGGTGAGGACTGAGCCCAGGAGGTTTCGCCTCTCACACTGCATTACCCCACAGCCTCCTTGGCAGGGGGACCGAGGCCCTTCCCCAGGCCCTGCACAGGCCAAGGAGGAGGAATTCAAGAGGGCCACCCACAGAACAGAGCTCCTCCTGCTCCCCTAGGAGAACCTGTCTTCAGGGCAAGGCGGCCTGCATGCTGGCCTGACTCTCCCATCAGCTCTTCCCTGAGGGGTAGGGGTCCCTCACTGCCAGCGTAGAATACAGCCCCCCAGACACCAGAGACAAAGTTTCTAGCCTCGTCTATGTCTGTGTCCTGTCCATCAAAACCCCAAAGGAAGGGGCAGTGCCTGTGGCTCAAAAGGGTAGGGCGCTGGC